TCTTTGTTTCACATAAGGCCAGATTGACGGTTGTTTTGATTAGCACGGAAATGGCCTTACCACATTTTCTTGTGTACACTTTCGCATTAATTGCAATTTATATATTAGCTATGTGAAAATTAAATAATCAGATATCAACTTAAAAAAATTTTATAATTTTTATCTTCCATCTGCATTTAGGAAAAAATCCCGCCCCGGGGAGAGACCCCCACCTTTTAGTCGGGCCTTCACATACAGGTATCTATATATAGATCTATTACTAATATATATTTTGAAAGCCGTTTTTTTTTCTGTTCGCCAAGGTCGGCTGTACCGATTTTTTTGAAATAATTGGTTATAGGTTCTAGATGGGCTTCGCATTGTCTTAGGCAAAAAAAAAGTTTAAATACTTCCTAAAAATGGAACTGCAGGACTTTAGAAATCCTATAGAATCTAACATATATGCCCACATAACAGCGCTACTCACCTGCAAATCACAAATGCGAGCGCCCTCTGCTGTTAATTCGTACGGAATACAGCGCAAAGCAAGGGTTATGTATACATATACATACATGCTAATGTTAACGTTAATGTTGATTCTTATATTAACAAAAAAAACAAATACAGTAAGCACAGTTCATGGAGAAATAATAGTTGTGTTTGTTTACTCATTTCCAGTAAAATCCAGTAAAAGTTTTTACGAATTTTCATGTTTTGGCGTTTTCGTACGCAAAAACTTGTAAAGTAGGGGAAATTGAGAGATCGAAAAACAGCTGATCGCATATTGCTGGATGCAGTTTAAACTAATAAGGATACTGTTTATTTGTTTTCGTAGTTGAAATTGGAAAAAAAACCTATTTAAATATAAAATATATTGTTTTTTAGGAATTTGCTGCGAATAAACAAGCAATTTATCAGCTGTTCATGAAACTTGCAAATTATTACTGGATGTGCGTTCGCGTACTTTTTTGGACATTTTTTTCTATGAGAGCGAATTCTCAGAAATTAAGTTCCTGGAGAGTTGCTGCCAGCGTTGCCGTTTTGGTCCAATTGGACCAAAATTGGTAGCTTCTTTCTTCTTTGGTAGTTTGGTTGGTTTGATGAAGCTTTTGGTAGGCAAAAATGTTTTGAAAATTCAATCGAACTTAACATTAAGATGTGTTCACTTATTTTGCGTTTACATGTTGAAAACATTGCTTTCACTTTGCTCACACGTATAAGTTTTTTGGTTTTTTCTAAATTTTACTAAGCACACAATTTTCTACAAACAAAAACTCACTTTCCAAAGCTATGATCGATCATCTGTTGAAATTGAACGAAAGATTGCCTATCGTCTTGAAAGAAAAATTGGTGATAGGCAATTTGCAAAGTGTGAGTGTATTGCTAAAAAAAGGGTGAGAGTATGCAAATTGAAACAAGATTTGGAATTTTGTTTTATTGAAATTCATAAAATGACTGGTTTTGTTTTTTTTTAGCATTAAAAATGTTTGATATGAATTGAATTAACTTCACATTTTTACAAAATTTTTTTTACGCAATATGTCAATTCTTTTGTTCTGTTGTCTTGTTGAATTTGTTTTTTTAATTAACCTTAGAGATTGGCATGAATGGTTAACCAACACTGTAAACAATATTATACTGCCAATTCGTGTAGCTAAAAACCCTGTAAATCCAAGAAATCTCGTTTTAATAATGAACAAAAATTTGGTAGTTTGGAAATTGATTTGGTAGGCGTTTTGGCACCTAAAAATAAACTCATGTGGCAACACTGGTTTTTGGCAAGTTACTGGATAATTTGTAAACAAACACAACTAATGTAGGCTGTCGTCGATTCCGCTGGCGAATTTAACGCGAATCTAAATAAAACGCTTTAATTGTGTCTGCTAACTCGACTTCAGTTCAGATTCGGTTTATTTCTAAAGGTTAAGAAGTTATTTTCAGCATATGCAAATGTACAAATGGGTAATACTTACAGCAGTGTGTCCCTCACTTTTCTCCAATGATCGACGACTGAACTAGTGTTCTTAACTTGTTGCGAGTGTACCAAATTTGGCAAACTATGTACATACATATGTATATACAAAGGAGAAATAGCGGTTGGCACATTGCGGTTAGCGAAAAAAGGCAACAAGCATTTACATTTTCACTAAACAGATGTACATATGTATATGTGTAACATAGAATATACTCCGTTTAACGGAGGAACGAAAACAATGATAAATACTGAAAAAGGGTTTGAAGTGCATAAATAGGAGTTAGGACGTTTGCGTACACACAAATGTAAGTACATACGAAGATGTGGCCAAAGAGAACGTAAATATGCAGATCATACCGTACGCAGGGGTTACTTTGACAACGTTTAAACATTAAATAGATACATCGAACATTCTAAAGGCAAGCGGGCCGCAACATCCCGGGCCCCGTGAATCAGCCCGATTCACCACATTCAGTGTCCAGGATCGCCAGCTTGGATACTGCTCTCTGCTTTACACCACCAGTTGTTCGGACGTCGACTCGCCTAATCTCACCATCATGCCCAGGGTAAACACGCTCTACCTTTCCACGGCACCATTCACGTCTTGGTACGTTAGGGTCGCATATAAAAACTAGGTTCCCTTCTTGTATAGGCTTCGCTGGCTGACACCACTTGACTCGACGGGTCAATGTTGGCAAATACTCGGTTATCCACCGCTTCCAAAAGTGGTTCCTCAACTGACGGCCGATTCTCCATTGCTGACGTAGTACGCAAAGCTTCTCCAGTACGCTCTCTGCGGTTGGCGTATGTGCATCGTTCGGCTCACCAAGAAGAAAATTGTTAGGTGTAAGGGGCTGCTCTTGGTCGACGGATATAGGCAAATGCATCAGAGGCCGGGAGTTTACGATGTTTTCCGCCTCAATCAGGAAGCACTTGAGCGTGTGCTCCCTAGGCGCTGTCTCCTTCAAGGTTTGGCTAACACCCTTTTGACGCATTGCACTAATCTCTCCCAGTCGCCTCCTTCCGATGGATTAAACGGAGAATTAAATATCCACTCAACTCCCTTGCTGGTTAGCTCATCTTGAATGCGGCTGCAGTCAGACACCTCACGGAAACGTTTGTCTTCCCTTTCTGTGCCGTCAAAGTTCTTACCATTATCGGAACGTAGACGTGTAGGCACACCACGACGATTCATAAAGTTTCGTAGAGCAACAATGTACGAGTGAGTGCTCAAATCATGGGCCAGCTCTAAGTACACCGCTCTCACCGTCAAACAGGTGAAGAGCGCCCCCCACCTCTTCTCAGTACTGCGACGAATGGTAACAGCTATCGGGCCGAAATAGTCTAGTCCCGTATAGCTAAATGGCCTTATATATGGCGTGAGCCTGTCAATTGGTAGCAGCGCCATTTGAGGTGGTTCACGCTGTACTTTTCTCAAGCGGCACTCCAAACAGTGCGTGATTACGCTGCGTAGCAAAGTTCGTAGTTGTGGGATCCAATAGTGGCGTCGTATCTCGCATATTGTAGCCGCAGTGTTCTGGTGACGCATAACTTTATGGTAGTGCATCAAAACCAGTTTCGCGAAGGTGTGCTTTGGCGGCAATATGATGGGGTGTCTAGAGCTTATGGGCAGCTAGCTGGCGGCGTCGATGCGACCATTCACGCGGAGCACACCATCTTTGTCTATATATGGCGAGAGCTGTAGCAGCGCGCTGTTACGTGCGATATTTTGGCCGTTCTGTATCTGCTGAAGCTCTGCAGCGAATACCTCTCGTTGAACAAGGCGGCACAATAACTTTTTGGCAAGTTCGACTTCTCGCGCAGTCTACCCATATCGACTGTCTGCCTGAGCACGGAGACGGCAAGTGTCCATAAAGCGCAATACCCAGGCTGCAACTCCCGCCAGTTTTGTCAAGGAAGAAAAACTTTTAAAATCAATTATATTATAGTTAACGATTACCAGAGCGTATTTAGGGCGTAGTTCTTCATCATGCTCGTCTTCGCTGGGTACCACGGTGTTGTCGTTAGGCCAATACTGATGCGTCTGATGCAAAAATGCCGGACCACATGACCAACGGGCTGTCGCTCGGAAATCAAGGCGATTGTTCGCGCGTGTAGCTTCGTCGGTGACATTGAGTTCAGGTGGTAACCACTTCCAGTTTGATGAGTTGGTAGCGGACAGTATTTCTGCTATCCTGTGCTGAACGAACGGTCTGTAGTGACGATGTTCGCTCCTAATCCACCTGACCACTGTGAATCGCTCCACAAAGTACACTGGTCGACGTCTAGAGAATGCTCCTCTCGTATACAGCTCATTAGGCTTGGAGTGCAGTTAATAACTTTATTGGAGCGCACTTTGACTTCGCGGAAATGAACTCCGCTTCGATCCCGTCACTGGAACTTTTAGAGCTCCAATAGGCGACGGCGGCGAAGGCTACCTCACTTGCGTCGACAAACACGTGAAGCTGTATCGTTTTCGGCATACCCATGCGAAAATAGAACCGCGGGATAGTATACTCTACAACAGTCACCAGCTGATTACGCCACTTCTCCCATGCTTCGTTGATGCTAGTCGGTAATGGCTCATCCCAACGAATGTCGTGCCTCCACACCTCGCGCATAATCAATTTGGCTCCGATTACAAAGTTACTTAAAAACCCTACAGGGTCAAAAATGGACATCACGATGCTGAGGAGCTCTCTCTTGGTAGGAGGTCTCCATCCATACACAACCGCTGCGTCCACGTTATGAAATTTTAGCTTGAACCCAAAGCAATCGGTTGACGGCTGCCAAAATAGTCTGAGGACTTTTTCCACCAACAAGCCCTCCTTCTTCGAGATAGGTCGCTTACCCTCGTCACCATCCAGCTCTTTTATTACCTTCTGTGAGTTTGACGAAAAATGTCTATGCTCGAATCCAGCATTCAAGTGTATAGTGCACACTGCTTGCGAAACGGCGATAGCTTCTTGTATTGTACCGAAGCTATCAACCATGTCGTCCACATAGTGATGATCTAATATGGATTTTACTGCACGGTCTACGACGGCGTTTCCATTCCGGTGTTCTAACGCGTTGACGGTTCGGACGTAGTGGACAGAACATGGCGAACATGCATCACCAAATGTCATTACGCACATTTCGAAGACTTCTGGCTTCCTCGTAGCATCACCTCCTCGCCACAGAAACCGTTGAGCGCATGTATCTTGCCGCCGTACCAATATTTGGTGGAACATTTCTCTCACGTCCGCACACACCGCAACTGCACCTTCGCGGAAGGGGAAGATAATGGACGGCAACGACTTGTAGTCCTGTGGTCCCTTTAGTTGATGCGTATTGAGTGAAATACCCCCCACCTCAGCAGCTGCGTCAAAAACCAATCGCAACTTGCCCTGCTTATTAGGGTTGGCAAGGGTGAAGTGTGGCAAGTACGAGGTTCTCGACAACGACAAGGCAGCATCTGCTGGTGACAGCTTACGCGCATAACCCTTAGCTATGTAGGACTCTATGATGCGTTTATATTCATTAGCGAACGCACCATCGCGACTCATTATTTTTCGATACCTCTAAGCCTCCGCAGCGCCATGGGATAGCTATCAGGAAGCTCAACCTTGTCATGCTTCCACAAAAGACCCGTCTGAAATCTCCCATCGACGCGGAATGTAGTCTTCTCGAGAATTCTCTTCGCACGAGCATCAGCCTCACTTTCGATGGGGGGTGATGGCCTTATCCCAAAGCTTTCGGTGTCAAAGTAATCAGCCATTAAGTTATGCAATGACTGCTCACTCTGATTGTTCACATGCACGCATGTCGGCAACGACCGTTGTTTGTTTGTAGTTGGGCCATACACCACCCAACCTAACTCAGTGCTCGCTGCAAACGGACCATTCATATTAATTTTCAAAGTGGCCGAGGGTAGACCAAGATGGCAATGATCCAGTCCGATTAACAACTTAGGGCGGACCTGTGAGTACNTGATGGCCTTATCCCAAAGCTTTCGGTGTCAAAGTAATCAGCCATTAAGTTATGCAATGACTGCTCACTCTGATTGTTCACATGCACGCATGTCGGCAACGACCGTTGTTTGTTTGTAGTTGGGCCATACACCACCCAACCTAACTCAGTGCTCGCTGCAAACGGACCATTCATATTAATTTTCAAAGTGGCCGAGGGTAGACCAAGATGGCAATGATCCAGTCCGATTAACAACTTAGGGCGGACCTGTGAGTACGTTTGTATTGGCAACTTACTTACGTGAGTGTCATCACAGCTCAACTCCGCTTTACTTAGGCTTTGCGATGGCAGCTGCAAATTCGATACTCCATAAACTCTTCGCAATTTATATCGCTTCTGCATGCCAGCGCCGCTGACCAACAAGTCTACTACCACGGCTGGTTCCTGCGCCACGCGGCCTCCGAACCATTGCAAATTCAGTTGCTGTTCACTGCCATCGACTGATCGACGAACCTTCGTCCATTAGGGCATATGTTTCAACGCGCTTTTGTTTGTTGTACAACACGACTTGCAAAATTCTAAATAATAGCTTGCTGTCAGCGGAACCGCGGCTGCAACTGAGAACTACGGCATCCGCATCACTTGGTTGTTGTAAATACGTTGAACCTTGAGTATGCGAGGAGCGTTCGGCTATTGGCATGCTCATATTACGATGGTGAATCTGTGCGGCCACATTGTTGGCCCTACATCCGCTTTCGTGGAGTAATTTATGGTGCATTCTTGCGCACCCTTCTGTGGCACATGGCTTTTGCCGTTGGCAATTACAAGTTCCATGTCCGGCGTTAAGGCATGAGAAACACAGGCGGCGTTTCTTTACTTCGGTCCACCTGTTCGGCACAGTGAGATCGATGAACGTTCTGCACTCGGCTAGCTTGTGTGGACCCTGGCATATTGGGCATCTCACATGACGGTACGGCTCGGCGGTGTGCAATATGACACGACGTCTGGAGTCTCGTACTGACTCGATATCATACACTGCAGAGATAACATTCGCGAGTTTTGTGAGCCACTCGCTAAACTGTTAATCGTAGCATACGGCTGTATAGATGCTGCGTAAGTTGCCCACTCAACTCGTTTACTCATCGGTAGCTTCAGAACGATTTCACCGAGCAACGTGGGGTGGCCGAGATGTTGTTCTCCTCCGATGGCTGATTGTAGAAAGATGGACATGTTGTTCACTATTTTAACTGAGAACGAATCAGCTGTTCAGGACGGCCAAAACCTGAATTTCAGCTGCTCAATAACATTATTGACGTTGCTGCGATGTATAAGCAGCGACTTCACAGTCTCCCGAGCTTCGCCCTTCAGGCACCTATGAAGCCGCTGATTATTTTCAAAATCGCTGTACGCGTAGACTGCAGAGGATTCTGAGAACGCAGTGTAGAATATCGGCCAGTCTTCTGCTTTCCCACAGAAATCCGGCAAGGCCTACATTTGCCTAGGCAAGTAAGACGACTGTGTTGCTACAGGACCCACGTTGCCGTGAGCGGACGCAATGCAGTTCGCAGAAATGACATCACTGTTAGGTGTGGCTGAATACGCATATGTATTGTGTGGCAATGGCATGCCATTAGATGTGACATACTGAACGTTTTGAGTAGGCGCCGATGCTACGAGATGCAACGGCGATTGGCGGCTATCTGCCNCACGCATTATTTGCAAAAAACAATTTGCAAAATGGTAAAATTTGCCGTATAAACGCTGAGTTAATTTTTTATTTGCAAATAACTAAATCACGCAAATAAGTATTGATTATGACGTTACTGGAAGCGGATTGCCGATAGACACCGTCGGTAATTGTAGTTCCGGCGACGGCGCAACTTGACAATGCGTTGTGGGAAATTGGTGATTTGAAGTCCCGGCCGTGTACGCATTATCAGCCTCAGTCTGGGATTCGTGATCCCTCAGCTTTGCTTCGGCTGCTTTCAGGGTATTTTCTAACATGGTGATACGCTTTTGCATAGCCTCCATCATGACCTCTTGACGAGCAGAGGATGCTGGTGGCGCAGGCGTTGGCGAGTTACGGCTAATTGCTCCGGCGGTAGTGGAGGCGGCTTTGAGGCGCTGGCTGCGCTTTCGGCGGTGGTGGCGGATTGCGTGGCACTGGCTGTGCTTGTAGCTTTGGTGGCGATTCCATCAGCGGTGATCTTCGTTCCGGCACTTTTCGACGTGGCCGGATTCGAACCTGAATCTTTACTTTCCATTTCGTTATTTAATCGAGGGCTTCGACGAGGTGATTTGCCCATGTAAACATCAGCGATGTAATATTGCTGCAACTAAGCAGCGAGTTGGCAATGGCAATTAACTTCCAAATAAAATTTGCAGTTCCAAATATATGGCAGATTTGAACTGCGAAATAAAGATGTCGTCGATTCCTCTGGCGAATTTAACGCAAATCCAAATAAAACGCTTTAATTGTGTCTGCTTAACTCGACTTCAGTTCAGATTCGGTTTATTTCTAAAGGTTAAGAAGTTATTTTCAGGATATGCAAATGTACAAATAGGTAATACTTACCCCAGTGTGTCCTTCGCTTTTCTCCAATGATCGACGACTGAACTAGTGCTCTTAACTTGTTAGCGAATGTACCAAATTTGGCAAACTATGTACATACATATGTATATACAAACGAGAAATAGCGGTTGGCATATTGCGGTTAGCGAACAAAGGCAACAAGCATTTACATTTTCACTAAACAGATGTACATATTTTGGCGAATACTTCGGCAACGCGAAGCGAACAACGAGAAATAGGCAGAATGTTCGAGGAATGACGTAGAATGTTCCACAAAGAGAAACGTCAAGTTGGGTGAACACTGCGAACAGCGGGAGAAAGAGATTGAGCGATAAACTTCAGAATGTTCTAGGGTTGCCATAAGTGCGAGCGCTGGTATATAAGGGCGCCGCCACAGCGAAGTGAGTTAGTTACAGGTCAGCAAGCTACAAGTAAAGTGAGCAGAGAAGTGAGTTGCGAATAAGCAAGCTATAAGTTTAATTGTGTTAACAAGTTTAGTGCAATAAAGTTAATTGTGCTACAATTTGGTCATCGTTAGCATTTATTTAACAATCCAGCGATACGAGCCGGAGGATATGTGGGAAATCCCTCAAGGTTTCAAGGATAATCGTAACAATATGTATATGTGTAACATAGAATATACTCCGTTTAACGGAGGAACGAAAACAATGATAAATACTGCAAAACGGTTTGAAGTGCATAAATAGGAGTTAGGACGTTTTGCGTACACACAAATGTAAGTACATACGATGTTGTGGCCAAAGAGAACGTAAATATGCAGATCATACCGTATGCAGGGGTTACTTTGACAACACTTAAACATGAAATAGATACATCGAACATGCTAAAGGCAAGCGGGCCGCAACATAGGCAATTATGTATGCAGAGCCGTTTATGTTGCCACAAGAAGCCACTAACATTGCTGTTAGAACTAACATTTGTATATGCATTTTTATCACGATTGAGAGAAATAGAGATTGCGCCAATCGCGGTACCGCTAATCCGCTCTTTGTGATTTTGTGAGAATGAGCTGTGTGCGTGACGTCATCTTGGTGCAATTGTTGATTGTGAGCATACGAAAAAACCAAATAACAATTTTAATATTTGTGCGTTAATATTTCTGCGTGGCTTTAAACAATTATTGAGACACTACAAGGCAAAATGAAGTGTGCCGTGCAAAGTGTAATAGTGAAAACAAAAGGAAATCATGCGATATAAGTTTTTTTTCGTTTCCTACGGACGCAAATCTGGCGAAAAAGTGGAAGCAGTTCTGCCGGCAAGGAGATGCATTAAACAGCAAATCGAGCTACATATGTTTGTGTGCATGAAGCACTTTACTAGTGAAGATATTGAAAATAATACACAGTTCGAAATGATTTTTTTTTATTATAAACAAAGATGCCTGAGGCAAGTATTGGGTTTACATATTTCTATTAAAATAGAGGAAATTGTAGTTAGAACAAAATTAAAGCTAATACATGTGTACATATACATATATGTATATATACTTTTGTTAGTACCTGATTCTTTTTATTGCTGGTGTGAGGTAATGCACCAGTGGATAAGGTCGCCAGGCGCTAATTCAAGCGGCATCTTACCTCGCCGTTACGTACCTAATATAAAACAGTGCTCAAATTATTATACATTTAAAAGTTCAGCCTGAATTATGTTTTACTTACATGTACTACGTTTATACGCACGCATTATTTGCAAAAAACAATTTGCAAAATGGTAAAATTTGCCGTATAAACGCTGAGTTAATTTTTTATTTGCAAATAACTAAATCACGCAAATAAGTATTGATTAGTGGTACCATTTGCAAATAAGCGCAAGGCGCCGCCATTCTTAGGTTTATTTTCTTTTTCGATGGTCATATTATTGCCTTTTTATAATCAAGACGTTGCTATATTTAACTTTATTTTCTTTTTCGTTGGTAATATTATTGCTTTTTTATAATCAGGCAATATTAAAAAAGAATTTTTCACCATCGAATAAACAGTGAGTTAAGTATTTGCAAATTATTTTTATTTGCAAATAGCTTACGTATAAATGTAGTAATAGAATATTTGTTTCCAAAGAAGCCACACTCATGCATCCTCTCGGAAATGGTACAAAAGTCATCAAATAAACGCTGTGGAGTCAACAGCAGTGAAGTTTATGGTGGTTGGCTACCGTCCACAAATATAGATATGCACTATGCATGGCTTTTTACAATGGCGAGTCCAAAAATCCACTTCGCTGCACACCTTCTTTTTGGTATACATGAAATTGCAAACACTGTTAATACATCCATTTTTTCATGTGCTAAAAATCGTACTTATCTAAATGGCTACATGTCCAAAATTATTGCTACGTGTTCCCAATTAATCAATCTTTGTATATTTACTGATTCCTGCAAAATTGGGCCATGTAATAATAAAATTAACACATTTTTCTGCAATGTTTACATATTTTTATTTACGTTTTGGCATTTCTCTCTCGCAATTGCACCAAGATGACGTCACGCAAAAATTACGCTCAAAAATCCTCTCTCATTGGCGCAATCTTCTAGGGATTCCCAAATCAGCACATATGTGTCACGGGCGACTGCGCGTGCAAAGCTTTGCACATCGGTGCTTGGCAAGCGGGGAAGCAAAAAGATATCGGGAGGGGAAAACGAAGTCAGCAGAATATTGAGATTGTATGTGTGACAGTGATGGAAAATGAGTGTGCTTTGTACCATTTTCGGCCCTTTCGGAAGCAGCCGGCACCTTTAGCACAATCGATTGATTTTCGGCACTACTTTTGCGTAACTCAATGCAACTAATAAATATTTCTTTCGGATCCGCAATTAAAAATATGTTTCTTACATTTATTCGTATGTGCTTAAACTGATAAATGATATAAACATAGAAACGCAAGCAGAAGAATCTCGCTTCCACATTCTGCAAATGCGCTTAACATTTTTGTTTAAACTAATTTGTCGAAATTTCATCTCTAAAGCAAATATTAAATATCATTTAATATATACTTTAGATTTAAATAATCATTTTTAGTGGTGGGCGAGTCCGAGATGTTTAAATGATCGAGATAGTACATTCAATTCGCGTAGATTTTTGAGAACTTTTTTCCATACTGAAATTTGTGTACATCATTTATCATTGTCTAAGAAAAACTATAAAATAAAGCTTAATTTAAAATATTGGAATAAACAACAACAACAACGCTATACGCGCATTCATCCATATAACATAAAATGCGTTCGTTATATGGAAGAAAGTGCGCAACACCGCAAACAGAAAAATTCAAAAAATCGAT